TGAGTTGAAAAAGAAAAAAAATTCTGACATTTCCGACTATTCATAATCTTGATATTTTTAAAGAAATTTTAATTATTTAAATAAGTGTATAATCTTAAAAGATTATTTATCTTGAATAAAACACTTTGGTAATAACATAACATATTGAATTCACTTTGTATTGTTTGGCTTGTGTCTTCCTATTGAGGGTTAACATACTAAAGTTACGTAATAGATAGAGTAAATTAATAGAATTCTATTATTTAAAGCTGAGATATTTAATTACATTGTGAATTGAAATCATTTTATATAAGCTAGTAAACTCATTCTGTAAAATGAAATTTCATTGCGATGTTGAATGTTCCTACTATTGGGTAGTCAAAGGTAGATAAAAGCTTATAATATACTGTAGGTATGATTATCAAAGTTTGACTTGATAAGTTTGAATAAATTGAGCATTGGATAGATTGTTATAAATAAATTCACATAGTTGTAATATCTCAATGAGTAAGAAAAATTAAATTTTCTGACGTTTTGTGACTTAGTGTAAGCCACTTCTTCAGAGAATAAATAACCAAATCAAAATTAATCCGAGTTTAAGTAGTATAAAGGAACTTGGATTGATTTTGATTTGATTATTTATTCTCTGAAGAAGTGACTTACACTAAGTCACGAAACGTCAGAAAATTTAATTTTTTTACTCACTGGGATATTACAAATATGTATAACTTGATAAGGCGACTTTATACAAAAGCACGGGTGTAGTCGTAATTATTCACTTATAGATGATTGTCGTAAGTATCAAATTAGTGATCGAGATTTTAAGGGTTTTTCGAATCATCATGAGATATGAATACAAGCAGTTGAAAATATCATTCATATATAACGGAAAGTAGTTTTTTTAAGGGTAATCGCACTTGAATTTGAACCAACAGATTCATAGTTGAAAGGCTGAATTACTTACTTCAGTTAGAACAGCTAGCTAGTTTCTCCAACCCAGGATGACTCTAAGGATATAGCTAAACTGTGGTTCAAAGGCAACAATAACGAGGAAATAACCTTATGATTTTGGGTTCACTTTTCAGCCAATAAAAGGGAAAGAATTTTTATGAGTCAAAAGTATTTTGTTGCAGAACTAGTGAAACTTGTAACGGTATAGAGAATTTAGAAAGCCTATTGAATTTTCAAGACTTAATATCAGTTTTCTAATCATAAAATTGAAGAAATATCTGAACGGAATATCATTTTGTTATGAACGGGGAATTAAGAAGCCCAGACAACTACGAAAGCCATTTTCTTGGGACGTTAATTCATTTCATTCAAACCCTGTAAAACACTTATATTTATTTTTGTTCCTATCTTATTCTACATAACATGAACTTTCGTTCTATGTATCATTCACTACCATATCCTTTTTTGTTCCGAAAATACTGTAATTTAAACATAATATTTTGCACTGTATTTTCTACCCTAATTCCCTGTTTCGGGCATAACTGTATTTTTCCAAATTATCGTACGTCGTGGTCAAGATATTCACTTATTTATTCATGTACATTTTTGTACTAATCCGAATTCAGAGAATCCAAAGCTAAGTGTTCCAACTGTCTTGTCTTCTCTCACTTGCGTGCTTGCCAACCAATCAGGTTCTAGGATGGTTCTCTCTACCCCATCTCGAACTCACGCGTGATAGACTCAAGGTTAGGCCGCTCACCCTATCGCGTCAAGGTCATAGTTTAGTCTGGACAGATCAAGGTGAAGTCATAACAAGTATCACGCGGTAAAAGAGATTCAAGGTCATAACACATTTATTTGAGTATGAACAGGATTGTTTTGACAGATACGAATAACTTAGCAGGAAATTCTTGATGGCTTACAAAATCTTTATTATCAACTTCTATAAACAATTAAAGAGACAGAAAGTCGAGGCAACGATCTAGAATAATCTTGACCAGTAATCAGGATCTATTTAAGCACTGCTACACCAATAGCTTCTTTATTATTTTATCATGAACAAAAGTTATTGAAATAAAAACTCATTGACTTATGTGTTATTTACAGTCTTCATAGTAAACAGTAATCATTTCACTTTTTCTTAAAAATTATTATCTCCAATCAATGATGGTAAAATAACGTTCTTTCCCACCGCCAATTATACAAATGTGTTTCTATAACGCTTTTCCATATGATGTCGGAAAGAAGTCAGTCTGTTTTTTTCTTTTTAATACTACTAAAAACAAATTTAATTTACTACATTCTGTTTAAATCACTCCTATAGATTAGTTACACCTATTCATAGTCAATTACATTAACCAAATATTTATAAAATAAGATATACTATTATGTAACTTCTATTCATGTCAGAAGAGGTTTTGTAGAGATTGTTTCAATTTCAATTGTTGAGATCATGAATCAGTTGAAGCTAGATCACCATGGAAAACCTGGAACCAATGGACAACCGTTTCGTCGTTTTGTGGAACTCAGTTGTGAGCATTCACGATCACGCCTCGCGGATTCAAACCCACGACCTATCAGTCACGTTCTCAAGCACTTAACCACTAGACCACTGACCTAGCCTGCATCCAACGGTGTTAATGTTTAACTTCAACTAATCCACGAAATTGAGTGAGAGATCCATGATTGTTATCAGTGATTTACTATCTCACAACAGACCTGGTTGAACTTCACTAGTCTCTGCTTCTCACTAGAAATCCAAGATATACCTCTTGACTCCAGTCACTAGTGAACATAGGATGAAATGGACTTCCAGTGCTTCCAGGTTTTCTATGATGGTGTAGATCCAATTAATTCATGATCTCATCTATTGTAATTTTTATTCCTTAAAAGGGAAAAAAACAAATCACATTTCATCTAAAACAAACAACCATTAAATCTTAGGAAGCATTGGAAAGCTATTTTGTTTTAGTATAGAGTTTCATAACATTGAATACAATGAATACAATTATAATTAGAAATTTTTACATTTTAGAAGATTATGAGTAGAATAAGTTAGTTCTAGTTGTGTTCTTTTTTACACTGTTTATATTGCCTTGATGAGGATTGTTTTTTTGTTTGTTATTAAAACAAAGGGACTTATCTATTTAGGCCGATAGGTGAAGGGTTCGAACCTCATTCAAACTGTATTAATTTAGATAGCTAAATCGTACAGTCAGATCCTAAATAAAACTTTCAACCCATACGTAAGTAGACAAAGCTGGAATTAAGGAAAGATTGATCTAATAGAAAATCTTGTTACGATAAACGACAACTTTATGTTACATGAATAATGACTCTCATATGGCATACTACATCAGAACTAAAGACACATTTAAAAAAAAACGAAACTAAAATTTCCTATTCTTTTATATTCTATAAATAGATGGACAATTTTAATTCGTCCCATAAATACTGAATTAATAAGTAAGTAATCTTAACTTTGCAAATGTAGTCTGGACAAAGTATGTTCTTGTTACCGATTAACATTTCTAAACTGTGTAGAAATAGTTAAATTGTGGTGTAGGTTACCTATATCCACACAAGTAGTATATAACGGTGGTCGGGTATAGAATGTATTTCAGAAGCAGTTTGATAAGGAAAGAACAGAGACGGAATGTAATCGGTATGAAAATGCATGAGCAATGAAATCTGAGACAACGGACTGATAGTTGCAAAAGGAACAGTGAAGTTTGAGACGATGGATTGTTATTTTACAAATGAACTATTTACTATATTGTTCTCGGATTTTATTGAGACGCTCTGTAGTTACGTGTCAAATAAATTCGATTGTCCCCACTAGTGTTCTTGTTTACTACAATATATGTAAAGCTATCATCGTCATGCTGTTAGTTATTATCGATTGTGTATGAGACAATAAATTTAATCTTTTTTAACCGGATCTTTTCCATCTGTTTGTTGTTATATTAGAACTTTTGTGATACAATGCGATTCGGAGTAGCTTTGTATCTTGTGTGTATGTCAAAATAATTTGAGATTTCAAAGTTTAAACCAAAGACTGGTTTCGCTTAGACAACTATTTTAAACTAGGAAGTAATAGACAGCTATCTTTTCCTGTTGTGGGACTTTACGGAATCGTTAATCCACAACTTCGCCAAGGCTAGACATATAAACCATAGGTTTCTGGTCTAGTAGTATAAATTTTAAGCACTCGTCTCGACAGCTGAATGTCCTGGATTCGATCCCCAGTGTATGGTGTTGTGCTTGTTTCGTTGTTTACAGATCTTAGGTAAGCTTGGTTATAGAATCAAGAATTTACACTATTGGTAAAATTTGAAGTACCACTTAACTACTGCTTCGTATTTTCTATCTCTCAGCACTTTTCTAGCGGGTTTGTAAGTGGGGATTTTCAAGGCGATAAAAAAACTGTCCAGTGCCCACTGTTCTTAATAGTTGTTGACTAGATTCGGCCCATGATGTGAACTGTGAAATTTAACAATCTAAACAAATTCCCTAGAGTATCATAAGATTTTCTCAATTTGAATTTAGTTTTCATCTCAGATAGAGATCAGCTGAATAACCATTGTTAACAAAACAGTACTCAATAGCTATTTCATCCTCATTTTTAGTGTTTATAACCTTATACTGGATAGAATCGAGAACTATCCAGTTTCAAATAGAGTACGATAACCTTACTTCACTAAATTACAATCCAGCGGTTAATATCTTGATGCATTTTCTATTAAAAATACTACGTACAATCCACCTATATGTTTAAACTATATTAGGTAGGTCTTCTGAAAAGGATATTTCTATTTGAATAATACTTTAGGATGAAATCCAGTGTGAAATGACTGAATTTTAACATTTGAAGAATTGTGCTTCTTACTTTCGGCATGTTACTTTAAGCCTTAGTTCACTTAGGATAAGATTTTTGTCGAAGATTCTTTCATGATCAAATCATACCATTTTAATTTTGAAAAAAAAACGTTTATTAATAAAAACTATCAAAGTGGGATAATAATGCCAGTGAGGGTATGGAAAATAAATTATTATTTCATATTTATTACCTTCGACTACCTATTTTGATTTGTCGTCCAATTACTATAGTCTCAAGACTACCAACTGTAGGTTGATTATCTGATTGATGAGTATCAGCCCATTTCTCAATTACATCTTGATTAGTTGTTCTACTGAACTTATCAATTTTTATCCATGGTTTACCTGATACAATACCCGCTTGAATATTATGCTTGGTATTTCGTGTAAGATTATGTTTACTATAAACAAGTAGGATACGATTTGGAACACCACCATCAATATATCTAAAAAATGAATGGATAAAGAAAAAAAATTATAACTGAAGAATAAAATATTAAAATTTAATGTTTAGAATTAGTATATTTGGTATATGGCTACCAGTGGAGTCTAGGACGTGCATTTCGTCCCATTTACAGATAATATCATACCTTCATACTTTAGTTGAACAAACAATGGAAAGAATGAATACTACACGGTTATTTCGTCCTTATATGAGAATCCTCACCAATACTCACCTTCTAAGACATATTATAAGTTACATTAAATCAGTCTATAATCATCTAATTCATTAATGTTGTTGTGGATTGAGTTTGGGTTTAGCATTTCTGAATTGCGAACAATTAAAATGCAGTGAACAAGAAGACCAATGGGGACAATCGAATGCATTTAACACAAAATTACAAGACTTGTTTAATAAAATCTAACAATCATAAAGTAAAAGCTTAATTTGCAAAATGTCCACCAATTGCGTCAAAATGACCCAGACTTCATTGTTCTTGCATTTTCATACAAATTGCCTCCTGTTTCCATTCCTTACTGTTCGATCCTCTTGTCTCTCTGCTGCCAGACCTTCTGTTCACGACTAACATCATATACCACTTATGTCAATAAAAGTAGCATACACCATAAAAAGACTAGTACACAACATTTCACCGATGAAAGAGAGATTGGTCTTGTAAAGAAATGCAATGACTATGATCCTCAAAAGAATTAGATCGAATTCAACTAAATTTAGTTCAAACGTATATAGATTATTCAATAAATACTTATCACAAAATTTATCAAACTACATAATCATCCCTTTTTACAGAATTACACTGAATTATTGAATACAATAAATTGCCTTCAATTCACTCAACTGGTTTCATACTGAATAAATCGATACGAACGAGAGCCCATTGATAATCAATGATCAAAGTTAATCATGAATCAAAATATGAATTCGAAAATTGATTTCCTTCTAAATGTAGTATTTAGGAATTCATTCACAGCAGATAGGTTCATTTCATGATACTATACGGTCAGTTTCATTATCCAGGAAGTAAGTTTTACCCTTACCTAAACTTATCACTTTAATGTAATTGATAAACTAACCTACAAATATCATATTATAATTCTAAACTAATGAATTAGGTATGAGAAATATCAGATAGTTCATGTGTAAGCATTAAATATAAATAAACCAGCTTACTTTAACACAACTCTCCAGTTAGAAATAGCCATACTGAATTGATGATCTTGTGTATCACGTAAAATCATTTGTTCCTGTTCACTTGGAGGTGCACGATAATGTAAAAGCATTCCATTACCTTTATCTAAACTTAAAATCATTTGTATTTCAGTTGGTTGATCGATATGAAATGGTATGCGAGCAAGAAGTGTAGTTGTTTCGGTAAATAATCGTCCATCCTCCTCGTTGTTATTTTCTGCGTTTAGTTTGTCGGGTAATTGGGAAATCAATGTGTTAGTTTGATTCAATTCAGTTGCCTTTAGTAAATGTTGTTGTTCATCACTTTCAAACTTGATATCTGTTTGTAAGGGAAGCAGTAAAGGTTTAGCATTATTATTTTAACCATTAAACATTGAACCGATTCATATTTGAATATCATTCAAAACCAAAAGTGTGCTGGACAATCCATCTTGTATTAGGTATTTAAATCTTCCCATTGACGGATATGACTGTAATTGATCAGCCTCTTATTGGCGTATGTGCGTCCTCTGCGGATTGTCTCAATATTTCCTTAAGTCATAAGCACTGTAAGCAAAGATGTATGGTGGCTATCAAACAAAATAGACGAATCGCACATTATGGATTCCACAGTTAAATACCATACATCCCTGCCTATAAAGTGCTGGATGGTTGTTTCGTCCCGGTATCGGACGCCTCAGCAACCCGTACATACGATCCCGCTATAGGGGATCGAACTGATTATGGACTGAATGTCTAAATTCTGTCAATCAACGATTTATTGAAGTGGTATGCATAGAAGGACCAGTAAAGAGGATTTGATAAAACTAGTATTAACTTAATGTCATGAAGTAACTACTGTTAAAAAGGATTATATCTCTGTCGTCACATGAAAGTAATTTTGTCACTTTAAATTTAAAGTCTGCTGAAAGTAGGAAGTCAGTAATAAATGAAAAGAGTTAAACAGTCATCTTTAAATTTCATTAGTAATAGCAGTTTGAATAAACTTTTTTTGTTACCTTCACTTTGTCTTTTAACACTACAACCATTTTCTGTCACTTGACTACCATCTGGACACATTGAACATTGTCGTCCAACAACACCAGTACGACAGTTACATTGACCAGTTGCTTGATTACATGTTGTCTCAGTTGAACCAAGTGGATGACATGAACATGCTTTAGAAATCAAAATAATAGACAAACACACACATATGTAAGAAAATAAATTTCAGTGAAGAATTTCATACATAATTAACAATTTCGTAAACTCTTCAGATCTAGTTAACATTAACTGAGACAAATTTAATAAATTCACTGATTGAAATCATGAGTCAATTGAAGCTAGACCACCATGGAAAACCTGGAACCACTGGACGGCTGTTTCGTCCTAGTATGGGACTCCTAAGCAGTGCACATCCACGACTTCCCCCTGCGAGATTCGAACCTAGGACCTATCAGTCTCGCACACGAGCGCATAACCATTAGACCACTGACCTAGCAGGCATCCAACGGTGTTAATGTCTAACTCCAACTAATCCACGAAGTTGCACCACCGTGCACCATTGTCTTCAGTGAGCTGATATCTCACAACAGACCTGGTTGAACTCCACAGGTAACGGCTTCTCACTAGAACTCCAGGAAATGCCTCTTGAAGTCAGTCACTAGTGAGCAGATGATTATTATCAGAAGGGGTGTGATACGCTCATATTAGTTTTGACATAATTTTGGGATTAAAAGTAGAAAGGTTATATTTCATATTTTTCCAGAATAACTGGGATATATATAGTTATGAGTTTATAAACACAATGCATGTGTGTACGTGTTTGTATTCTTCAATTGTTGGACTGCAAGTGGTCAGTCTGTATGTAGGCGAAGTAGGCTTTGACGTGAACAATGCGAAAATACTAACTATTACAAATGTATATGCGTTGAACAAGTTAGTGGCTGTATAAACTCTGGAGTTCAGTAGGTAACAAGTTGGTATTTGAAAGTAAGACCACTGAACTCCAGTTTCAGTGTGAAAATCAACAATATGTTAGAGATGCATCGAATTGATTAGACCTACATTGCATTGGACTGATAACTACAATTCAGCTTTACTCAAACAGGACTGAATGTTTATTTGATCAATTAAATAATTTACCAAGTCTGGTCAAATAATCAAGAACACAGTTCAGTTGGATGTATGCCCATCCAATTATTTGGTCAAAACCATTCATTAGAATAAATGAAATGAATAAAACAGTAGGTTTATATACAATTCAGCGGCGAGTTATTAAGATTGAAAACAAATACGATTCACTGTATTATGGTCTATTGTTAATGTATCTTCACATGACTAGGAATAGTTACTTCGAGGTATATTCTTCAGTCGATTACTGTATAACAATTAACCATGGGTTAGATTTCCTAATGCAATGATGGAAGGAGTTGCACGTTACTAAGTACTTACAACCAATGGAAATTAGTTACATTGTTACTGTCTAACAAATCTATTTGTGTGAGATTTTAAAGATTCTATGAATATTTGAACTGGTTACTTAAGTCACCTACAAAAGAACCTTGTAATACCATTTAATTCAACTTATGACCTGAGAAAGCATACTAAATTACTTCAGTGGTTTTCACACTTTCTCAATTCATATATTTATTCTTTATTAAATTTGGGCTTAAACCTGGTGTTTATGTGTTTCCTTCTTTAATGTAATATTTAAAAGTTTTGAATAATTTAGACTGTCTACTAAATGTTACAAACAAGTTAAAATTTAATTTGTTTGCAACTTTACAAATTACTTGATGTTCTTCAGCAAAGTTTACCTGTAATCTTGAGGGAACTGATGCTCCCTCAAGAATATAGGTGCACCTTGCTGATGAGTGTCAAATAGCACGAAACCTGGATTCAGGGTTTCCTGTTGACTATCTCCTTGACTATCATCTTACAAATAATGGAATCTTAACTAGTTTTGAAATTACATGAATTATGTTTAATTATAAACTTACGAATACATTCATGATTATTTTGTATACCCCAATAATTTGCAAGGCATTGATCACATTTTAAACCGCCAACACCCCATTTACATCTACAATTACCTAAATAATCACATTCTTCAGAAAGTGCACCAAGTTTATTACATGTACAACTGGATAGTCTTACACCATCTAAATTATTAATATGAAAAGAAAAAAATTTTTCTTTGAAACACCCTTTTGAATCAAAATGTAAGTGCTTTTATTGTAAAATAAAGATCCTTATAACAGTTTATTATCGAGTAAATATAGATGAACATAGGTATGAATGCCAAGGTTGAAATTGATAGTTTCAAATAAATTGAACATTGGATAGCAAGTTAATAATAAATATGCTATTTGTGATATCTCAATGAATAGAAAGGTTATATTTCTGATGTTTTGTGACTTCAAAGATACATTGTTTCACTTTTACTATTTAAACTTGCGTTAATTTAACTCAGTTATTTATTCACTCTGAAGATGTACCTTACATTAAGTTACGAAACTTCAGAAATACAATTTTTCTATTCATTTGGATATAATGAAAAAAATATATTTATTATAGACTACCAGTTAAAAGCATACTGAACAATCATTTTGTTTTATTGTGAAATAGTATAACTGTTAGTTCTGGAAACCATTGTATATGAAAAGGGATTATTACTGAGTAAAATTTAGTATACTTTTACATGAATATTAAATAAGAAAGACCAGAGCATATCCAACTAAGTTTGTTTGATTTGGTTCTATCAAAAATAAAGCTTCATGAGTTCTTAATAAATCTGAGGAGTTCAATGGATTTTTTGATAACACTTTTCCCTGTTTATTAATATACTTTTATCAGATTCTTCTAGATACTCCACTTAAAAGTAAACTGTGTTTACCTCTGTCAATATGTATGAAAACCATTAGATATTGAATGTTCTAGTTAGCGATCAGTAATACAATTTTATCTTTTCAGCTAAAAGTGATTTTTGGATCACGAACTGAAGTCACTTTTAGAAACTACCGGAAACAAATGGACAACTGAAAACTGTTTCACTCTTGCTTGAGATTTTTAAGAAGTATTCGGTCACTATCTAGTACTGAATCGCACCCATATCCTAAAACACCTCATCTAACTACTGAACCTAAATTTGGCGGTCAAGATTTGTTACTGCAATTTATTTGTGATTGAATGTGATAATCAACCTGTAATGAAGTTCATAAACATTGGTCTTCAAATTTAATGATTACTTCTGAGTAATACTTCCACCGTCCTTTGGAGATTTTTTATTCAGGCTTTAAAGTGAGCGAAATAAATTTCTAGTGTCATTTATCAGCTACATACAAACACATATTCATATCACACTGTTCTTTGGAAATTACCTATTATCTCTGCAAAGATGTATCGATGTTAGTTTTTATCATGAAAACAGATAGGGTAAACTGAAAAATAAGGCGTTCAGCCGTGTTTGTGATTTGAAAATGTAACAACATGCATTTTAACCTGACACTTTCAGAGGGAAAAACATTATTTGAGAACGCCTACGAACTTGACTAATATATGAAAGAACATCAATATTGGGACCACTTATCACATCGGACAGTACATATATACAATATTTCTACAAACAACATAATTACAGTTTACACAATATAACTTTGTAATCTTTTTGGAGATAAGCCTATATATATATATATATATATATATATATATATATATATATATATATATATATATATATATATATAGCAATAGAAATAATTCAAACTACAAATGTAATTAGATTCCATACCTGCTTGTATGTTACCTGACGTTTTCATATTTGTATCTTGTAGAACAGTTGGATTTTTACTTCGACATCTGACACCAGCTAGATCTACATCTATATTAGTTTGTTGAATACAAGCTTGACGTTTAAGTTCACATTCACTTGAATACAATTTTCCATCTGTACCGCATACATCAAGTTCAGTTGGATGCTTTGGTGGACATGTATCTCGACATACACATTGACCATTACGACACTGAAAACCTAGTGGACAACCAGCTGTACATGGACCTAGTTAATTGTTTTGAAATATAAAAGGAATCTGATGAAGTCTTTTTGTACAAAACAACAATTAACAATTTCTGAACAGAGGTAATAATCACAGATATTACATGAAAATGAATACATACCATTACAATTTAGTCGGATACTTAGTATTTATTTATTTATTTATTTCAACACATAGATGTTTGTACAAAGAGGCACCGAATACATATGCGCCACACAACTCTCATTCGATATGTGTGGGAGTTGTGATACTGCCCGGGTGCCCAAACCGAAACAGGTGGTTTTCTTAGGGGGCCACACCCGGAGCCTTTGACCTGAGGGTCTGATCCACAAGGTAGTGGAGTATCGTAAGAAGATGCAGTCCCATGGAAGCCGGTGACCAACAATTGGTTCATACGCCATTTGTTCCCGCAGGATACTGGAGCTCATGTGCACCATTGATTTGGAATCCGCTTAAAGCGCCGGACATTCGCTTTTCGTCCTCTCATTTTAGTAAACAACACCCCCGCCACGAGAAGGCAGTGAGTAGGACTTTCCTGGCAGAGGCTATGTACGCGTGACCATGTGATAGCATTTCGAGAGGGAGAGCGGACTCTCCCCACTCTCAGCCGTACCAGGGCATTTGGGAATAAGTTATTTCACTGAATAGTGAGAGTGTATTCCGTATGCTCATATATTTACTTTAATCAATTCTAACTCAATGGCGTAACATTCACTGAGCAATAGATAAGTAGTCTCACACTGAAATGGGCTATGTGTTATGATGGGTTGGCTACTTCTTATTGGCTCACCATATCACTGTGCATCCTAAATCTCCAAACTTTTGAGTATCTATTTGAATGTGTTATACATTCATAAGGGTATAAGAAAGGCAGTACATAGAGAATATTTATTCAGTCTGATATAATAAATTGTTCTGTCACTGTTAGATAAACATGAGACATGTACACTTGTACCGAGAACACATTTTCTATGACACTCATATAGAGAGAAGCTATTTGGATAAGTTTCATTCTAGGCTAATCTCACTAGAATATTATAAAATCAGATTATACCGGATGATTATGTCATGTTTATCTGGGTAAATTGAGAAATACATTTTAACAGATTTGCTTGCAATGAAATATAATACATTTTAATTTCAAAAGAGTAATCAATGATCAAAGGATAATATAAATCATCAACTTTGTCAACCGTAAACAAGTCATTACGACATAATACTAGCCAATTAATGATAAATAAGCTATTAACTATTCTAAAGAATGACTGACTTGAGATCTGATGTTACCTAATAACAATAATAATAATACTTGTTCTGCATACACATAGTTCTCTTCATTATTTCGAAGAAAGTAATAACAAAGTTATGTGTGAAATAATATTAATTATCAGTATGGGTATTTGTGGAGATCGCAATATTTTTCAAAGTTGAAACCGAGAATCGATCTAATCTAGATCACCATTGGAAACTTGGAAGCACTGGACTAAGTCCCATACTGGAACGAAACGGTTGTCCAGTTCTTCCAGGTTTCCAATATTGGTCCCTCTTAGATCAACTCTTGATTTCAACTGTGGAAATAACATAGATTCATTTTATTTAGTTAGGTTCTCATTCGCTGCTTACAATCAGTAATATTTAATGAAAATTACGAAGTGGGTTTAAAAAAACGCAAACGTATTTGGATAAAAATTGTCCTGAACGCATTTTAACTTCATAGATAAATTTAAAAGACTAAAGAACGTAATCGAACATATTATCATACATGTAGAAGAACATTCAAAAACATTGGTAGTGACAAAACGACGAAGGTAGACACAGGTGGTTACGTCACGCTAATGACAAGTATGAATAAATCGAACCCAGGACCTACTGGTTTCGCGTGCGAGCACTTAACCACTAAACCACTGGCCTAGCCAGCATCCAACAGTGTTAATGTCTAACTTCAACTAATCCACGAAATCAAGTGACACATCCACCATTGTCTTCAGTGAGTTACTACCTCACAACAGACCTGGTTGAACTCCACTAGTCACTGCTTCTCACTAGAACTCCAGTATATACCTCTTGAAGCCAGTCACTAGTGACCATACGGTGATTAATATCAGATGGGTTTTGTGGATATTGTGGCATATGCTCACTAGTGACTGGCTTCAAGAGATATATCTTGGATTTCTAGTGAGAAGCAGTGACTAGTGGATTTCAACCAGGTCTGTTGTGAGGTAGTAACTCACTGAAGACAATGGTGGATGTGTCACTTGATTTCGTGGATTAGTTGAAGTTAGACATTAACACTGTTGGATGCTGGCTAGGCCAGTGGTTTAGTGGTTAAGTGCTCATGCAAGTGATTGATAGGTCGTGGGTTTGAATCCGCGAGGCGTGATCGTGAATGCTCACTACTGAGAAGTCCCACAATAGGACGAAACGGTTTTCTATGGTGATCTAGCTTCAATTGACTCATGATCTTAACCATAGATATAAATTCATTAAATCGACTGGTTAACTGATTGTTGTCCATATACATTCAATAAATAAATCACTGTATTATTGGTGTTGAGTGCTGTGAGTTTAAGTCTTTAAAAGAGCATCATGTACTCTAAGATAGAAGATATACCTTATTGAAGAAGGATATTAATCATAAAATACTAGTCAAAAATTTTCTACTGGCTCCCTCTACCTAGCAAATGTTATAGTAGACTACAGATTATTTAGCTATTTAAAAATATTTGTTCTCAAATCAATAAAAAAATCTTTTTCACTGCTTAATAAAAGGTGTAGGAAATGGATAATTCCAACAGTCAAATAATCCTTATCCTAATTCGAAAGGTTATTACAGTATAGAGACTTACGACAGTATCCTTCTTGAGCAACATGAACTTCACGTTGGTCAGCGCATGATTTCACCTTAAGCAAACATTCATTTTCATAATTTTTACCATCGGTTCCACACACTGGCTTTCTGACCTAAATAATGATAGATATATCTGTTGAAAAAGTATAGCCATATAAATTATTATGAGGTGTTTTTTAATGGTTGTGGATGACTATAAGTATCCTGTAGAGGGACTGCAACAACTATTCTGTGCGTTATTTATTCAAAAAATATGATATTGCAGCACTTTTACTAAAAAAAATACTGGTTCCTAGACGTTGCATATCATTAGAAAACACTGATGATATTGTCACTATGTCAGTTTCTTAGCGTATTTATGTATATTTTACACTCGCCATTAAGAAAAACATTGTGTTTAAAAGATTTTAAACTATGATTGCTCGTATTCTGATAATAATAATTCAGTACTGTAAATTGCTATCAATTATGATTAGGTCTTTTGTAGCGAATCTATAATTTATGTACGAACCAATCAGATTAACGATAACAGGTCTTGTATTTTGGTGCAAGATTCATTCATTCATTTGGTTAAGTAGCGTTTCGGCATTTTAGCTTATGTCAGCTCGTGATGAAAACCCTAAATTTAATTTCTAAATTTACACTTGGTCAAATTGACTAGACATATACTTTCTGATAAATCTTTGTTCAGATGTTTGAGTAGAAACAATAATACATATCGCCATACCGATATACCTATATGATGTTTTCATTTAGAACAAGATATATATAGTAGACTGCTTTTTATAGTTAACAAATAATAGTAAATTAAAAAATTAGTTACCAAACAGGGATACTTCGTAAGTTGAAATATTCAATTATTTAAGCAAAGATGCTTTACTTTACTGTTTTTAGTTATTAGTCTAACAAAAGTTTGATCAATATTAGCATTATGCTAGATGGTTAGATGTAATCGAAAAGACGTTACTCATCAACACTGGACATCTGGAACCTAAAGGGATCGATAAAACCAGGTCAGCATCAAGAACACGACAAAAATAACTTTGATTACTACTTGATGAGACAAAAGATTTCTAGATGTTTACATTACAGTATAACTATCATTATTGTCGTACGTCTATGTTAAAATCTTTCATCGATCAATATCACTTTACATTTTACTATCGATTATTTCCCCTAAATATCTGATTTAGATAGATCATATTAAAGCAAAGATGGATGGTTGCTAGCACTGGAATACAGAATGCGCGTTTCGTCCTATTTGGGACTCTTGGGCTAGATGTACCTGCATCCCAGAGTTGATGTTTACTACGGGACTCAAACCCAGTATTTTTCGCTTCAAACGTCACCATGTTATCCACTTAACTATTAAGTCTTGATAGCCACTTGCTTGTGGAATGGGATGAAGTTTAAATTCATTTTGTATTGTTTGTTTGAATGCTCCTATCATATTAACGTTAAACATAAGTGGGAAAACATTCCTTGTTGACTACTGAGTTCAGTGATTACAAAACTGCATAAATGAATAAAAACTTTACTATTAGTGAGTCTTTTAGTTCAGTCAATAGAATATTAAACTGTAAGCAGCTAATCTTAATTTTATCAAATCATCAGAAAATTAGAATAGCATACAACGAAATAGTAAATAGGAACTTACATAAAGACAATCTGTTGGACATATACATTGTGGTTCACCGAATGCACTTAATCGACATATTGCATAATATTTACATTGTTTGGTTTGACATGCATCTAAAAAAAGGTTGTTGATTTAAACAAAATGTTACTATTCAGAAAAATAAGATAACATAAAACTAAAAGATGTTCACAGTATTCCATTGATGAATTTGTAGATGCATTTAGTTTAAAATAATAGAATATTGTGTTTTTCTTTCTTAGTCAAGGGTACACCAGATCGAAAACATGACATTCAAAGAAAATATTCATAAGTTCTAAACCGTGAGTCATAACTTTTAAAGCCAGTGGTGTTGAAAGTCATGAATCGTTGTAGATGATAAACACTAAGGAATGAACTGTTCAGCATTTACAATAAGAAGTTATTAAAGTCACTGATTGAAAACATTTTGTAGCACATAAATCAAGTGTTTAAGGTATCATTCCTTATCAAATCAAGCGTGAGAACTATTGAGGAAACTTTTTTCCATGACAAAACAACTTTACAATAGTTATCTTTCTAGTGGAAAAGTCTTCTTCATGTCCCTTTTTTTCTCTCACCAAATTTATTTGACTGGATTTTACTCCGTGACTAACATCTTCAAACCCTAATGTTTCCGATTACTGCTTTTACTTTTACCACCTCTACCACTATAAGATTTGAATCGACAATTATATCTCTGTGCTAATGTGGTATAGCAACTCGAACTGATGTACGTAAGTACGAATTTCTATGTTGTTACTGACTGGTTGAGTTGTAAAGTCTGGATACGTTTCATATTATCACCTGATATCTCACTCATCTATGGACTTTATCAACATTTTAATCTAAAGAAGATATTTTATAGATAACAATATTGATCAGTTGAGTGCACTCAACTGTTTAACTTATTTACCTAATATATTTGTCTAACCTTGATACTATTCAACTTATTACTACTCTATATCTAATCATCGTTTAACAGAATAATGTCAATTAAAAGTTACCAAATTTCAAGCTTATTATTATATCTCAGCCTAAAATTAAAACAAGAAAAAAAACGATGTGACGTAATAGTTACTTGTCTATTAAGTTTTAGTTGCTATTGTCGTTTATTGTTTTTCAAACATTACAATGCTTTTATCATTTATTTCATGAAATAAACAAATAGAAAGTATCAGAATGGGTTTTGTGGAGGTTTTTGTTTTAGAAACCAGTAGGTCCTGGGTTCGAATCCCTCAGGGTGCGGGATCGTGGATGCGCACTGCTGACGAGTCCCATACTAGAATGAAACGGCCGTCCAGTGCTTCCAGGTTTTCCGTGATGGTCTAGCTTCAATTGACTCATGATTTCAGCCTATGAAATATAAAGTAGTTCTTATTGTATTATAATGACTGATTTTTATTACTCATGTATCTTTCGAGTTTGTTTATTACTTTTTTTATCTTCTAATTATGAGAATTATTGATTTATCCAATGTAAATAGATATATTTGTGTCGCTCAATTTCGGGGATTAGTTGAAGTCAGACATTAACACTGTTGGATGCCGTCTAGCTCAGTGGTCTAGTGGCTAAGTGCTCGCTCGCGTGACTGATAGGTTCTGGGTTTGAATCTCGCGAAGCGGGGCCGTGGTTGCGCACTACTGAGAAGTCCCACAATAAGACGAAACGGCTGTCCAGTGGTTCCAGGTTTTTCATGGTGGTTTGGCTTCAATGGATTCATGATCACAACCAATGAAATAACTATTTTATTGGTTAAAGTTAAAGTTAATTTAACTAATTCGATTAAAATATATTGGAACTTTTTTAATCTGGAAGAACTTACTATTCAACTATAATGAATTTATTTTTGTAGATATTAGTTAGTACGTACACTTAATCATAAATTTAGTAGAAGTTATTTGTGCTCTTCAAATTCAGAACTATACCAGATCTCGTAGTCATTTCTTAAGATTTAAATCTTTAGGATCTGTTAAAAAGTTATACACTAGGATGAAACAACTGTCATGTGCTTTCTAGTTTTCAATATTTATTAGGGTAAATTCATTCAGAGACACAAACTACAAGTTAAATGACCTTTGTCAACCTCCTATGCAAAACATTTTATCACATGTTCTTATGGATTAGTGTCTCCATGGGATTTTAGATTAGAATTGAATGAAAAAAAAGATTGTGTAAATTTGTAAAATGCCAAAAACATTGAAAATTATTTAATATTTTAACATTCACTATCATAATACTCAATCTTATTTCAATCAAATATTACCTTCAACAAGTATGTTCATTCAATGTTTATGAATTTAAACATTTGGTAGTACTAAGTAGTGTTGAACATAGAATGCTTCAAAAAATTTCATGATTGTACTACACTAAAAACAACTTAGTTTTAAATGGAATAGTTTGAAATTCTTCAGTTCACATATCTGCATCATAAAACTAATGACTTTATCATGTACAAGCACTAGGAATCGATAATGAGCTTTCTCTTTCAAAGCTCATTTCAAGACAATAAAGTTTTATAGAAGATAATTTCTAGCATTAAACGTATATGAAACGAGAAGTGTATGACACTTGAACTAAAGTATTATAGAAACCTAATAAATGATTTAAAATCCAATATATTCACTATTTTTTATATTGTTTCTTTGCTAATCTAAACAGATCATCTACTTAGTCGTATGCTTTAATATTGTCGTGTATAAGATCAATAGACATATTAAGGAAAATAAGTGCCAAATAACAAGTATCACCAATTTTGCAAGTAATCATTTTAAAGGCACATTGTAATTGAATTAATGACTTTTAAAGAGTTGTCGCTAGTTTTTATCGATATAAGATTATATTCACATCGAAATAGCGGGTGTTTAATGAGATACTCAGCGTATATTCTAGTTAGCACCAAAACCTCTCAACATACTCAAAATGATTATTACTTACCACATTTCCCTCTTGATTTAACAGTTAAATCTGTGGAATGTCGTTGACAAGCGCTTGATCGTAAATGACATTCACTACGATATGTTTGTCCATCTGATCCACATACATGCCCACCTAGACCATATTCTGGGCATGTAGGGCATATACACTGTGGAATTGTATCGTCAAAAGAATTTGAAAGGTCATAAACGGATGCATCCAATTTACCGTTGATTGAAGTGTAAACCATTGGATTTTTAATGCGAGAACATATTTCATATCCTTGGCATGGTTGATTAAGCAGTTTACAATCATTTGGCTTACCTTGAAAGATCAATAAAAAAGGATAGATATCTTTGGAATACTCATCAATTTGTACCTATTTATTGTTTGAATGCCTTAGTTAGTTAACCGAGTTGACTGTTAACAAGGTAAAATGCGTCTATACCGATTAAAATAATCAAACAGAAAGTTTATAAAATGTTTAGATTAGTGTTGATATTTACAAAACCCAAATCATCTAGTTTTAGATAAATCATTAACAAATCTAGGTTAGACTGCCATCGAAAACGTGGAGAAACTGAACGGCTGTTCCGTCTTAGTATATAACTCCTCAAGAGCGAACATCCACAATTCTACAGGCATGCACCAAAACCAAGATGTTTGGTCTCGCTCGTAAACGCTTAAACTCTAGACTACTGGTGTATAAGTTTAACTTTAATCAGTCTACGACTGTAAGCGAACATCTTCTATTGTTTTCAGTAGGTACCTTCCTCATATCCGACACAGTTTTCAACAATCTACTTTTTAATTATGTAATATGAAATGTAATGAAATATATCCATTTGCAAAATCTATTCTAATTAAAGTCCAAGGGTTCTATGAATTTTATTTATTCGATAATATTCATCAATAAACAGTAATTATGTATGGATAAACTAACATCATTATATGATGTAGAATAAAGTTAATATTTAACAACTGGCATTTCATAATCGTAAGTTAGATTGTGATTTACATTTTTATTCTTTAATATATGTCTATTATTTAGTAAATAACTAATCATCATACTACCTTGGTTATATATTTATTCTATTTTGTAATGACTTTTCATTCAGAATTCTGTAAGTTAATCAACCATTCGAATATATCAATTACTTTTGCACTTTAGAAGAATGTATGGTGTCATGAAAACACTTTGTGATAATCATTGAAGAACTTAAAAATAATAAGATTTTTTTATTGTAACTCAAGATTTTGATGGTATTGAGGTAAATTTAAGACCCGAAGCTTCTTTGTTTACATCCATTTTGAAGTTGTAATTATCTACTGTTTATTAATACAAAATTTAAGCCGAATGATATGTTGAAAAGACTTTAAACCTGAGACTTTATATTTAAGAACAGCTGTGTAAAACGTTCCTAGTGAGATGAATTTGATTGTTTTATATTGTACGATGTTTTTTGTTGTATAAAAATGAAATGAAAATATGTAATACATTTCAGTGTAATATAGTTCAACCAGGTCTGTTATGAGATATCAGTTCACTGAAGACAATGGTATACGGTGGTTCAACTTCGTGGATTGATTGAAGTTAAACATTAACACCGTTTAATGCCGGATGGCTCAGTGGTCTAGTTGGTTAAGCGCCTGGCGCGAGACCGATAGGTCCTGGATTTGAATATCGCGGGGTGCGGGGTCGTGGATGCGCACTTCCGAGGAGTCCCATACTAGGATGGAATGGCCAGCTGTCCAGTGCTTGTAGGTTTTCCATGGTGATCTGGCTTCAATTGACTCATGATTTCAATCTGTGTAATATAGTTTTAGTTAGTTGAATACATAGTTTATATTAAAAACACTTTGGGATTTAGTTATTGAGAGTGAAGATTTATTTTGCATCGAAATTTTCAAACTATTAAGTTGTTACTGTAATACAAAAGCATACTTTTTAAAGGGTCTATTCTCTTGGATATTCAATATTGTAAAAAAATTCTTATATTCAACAGTAAATGAAAATATTACTCCAGTTATTAGCATCCATTTAAAATGTAATAGATCAATGGTGGGTTTTTTTATTTGGTCATGAAAATGTTCCCAGTAAAAAAGCTTTAGGGATGTTGAGAAAGCATTCAGATAACACCGTGAATACGGAAGACTGTCCCGCTGTTTGAAGAGGTTGAGTGTTTTTTAGGTTGAATTCGTAAGTATGAAAGGAAGACAGATGATATATCTGTGGATGATTGTTTAGCTCAAAAATCTTTCATTACTTCAATCTTATAAGGAGTTTGATTCATGTAATCAGTTTTTAAGTTATTGTTTAAAAATTTCTAATAAAAAAAATAATTACTTACTGCATTCTCCTGAATAAATTACACGAATTTCTCTCATTTTTTGACATGCTGTTCTTTCTAAATGACATGTACTATCATAAGTTACTCCATCGCTACCACAGACTGGAGATACAACCGATGGACAAGGTTCTGGACATGTACATTTAGCTTGACCATTTATATCAACTTGACATTTTTCACCTTGCCATCGACATTTATGATGTAAGCATGGATTAGATGCTGTAATATAAAAATAAATTAAATAACGAGAATAGTACTAACAGATGGAAAGAATTTAAAATTGATTTAAAGCTATTATCTAATAACCATTATTTAAAAAGTTTACTTTCATCACAGATTGAAACCAATTGAAGAAACATTGAAACCATGTTTCAATGAACAGATGTTTCATTCAATTATTGAACTTATTAATAGTGCACATTCATGAACTTACTTGAGCTTAAATCTTGGATTTTCACGTTTCCCAGTCAACCTGAGTTTAGTTGTTGGTAAAGTCGTATATACTCAACGTTTTGGAACCTCTTATCAGAACAAAACGATTATTACTTTAAACATCCATAGTGTTAAGCTCATTCATTCAAATTGTTTACATTATGGTTCGATGTTCACAGATTGTTATTTTTCTTTCAATTTACATGATCATTATTTCTTGTACGAAAAAGAGACTACATCATTTCTGTTTTACACTTTTTCTTGACATCGATTGAATACAGTATATTAATCTATCATCATCATGATTATATTTAACGACATTCTCTCTCCTACCTTCTTACTTTTTAAACTTAAAGTACCAAAAATACCAAAATTTTGTAACTATGGTTACCGCGCTTAGGTTGTGAAACTAAAGAAATAAAAATGTATTTTTGTTAAAAATGATCTAAGTTACTAAATGGAAAAAATGGTCTTCTTTATTCATAAATCAACATCTTGTCCATACTTAGAATAATAATAATAATAACAATAGTGATAAAGAGACGTATTCTTTAACTGTGTGAATCAACTTAAAAATGTCACAATATGTACTTTAAAAGAATAATTTTTAGTTAAGAATAAATCTGAAGTATAAGTTTAAGGAGAGAAAAAAATCCTAACAGACATATCACTTGAGTAGATCAAATATATTACCGTTTTAATCTTGTATATCAATAAGGACTAAGTTAATACACATATCAACCGTTAATGAATACTAAATATTTATAAACATAAATTGATATTGAATGTTATGATGTAAGAAATCTGAAGTTCATAAGGAATTGTTAAATCTGAATAGAGCAAGAACAAACATTGATGCAGAATAGTATGAATTCATATTATTTCGAGGTTTCTCGTCAGCTGCTATTCTGCATCAATGTTTGTTCTTGCTCTATTCAAATTCATAAAGAGAACCAATTGCATGAAATTGTTAAATCATTCAACAACTTATCCATAATATATTCATGATAATAACGAAGTGATTTCCAAATTAATATTCTTGATACTTTATTTGTATCATACTGAGATGGTGGAGAAGATTTGTAGCTCAGGTGAATGATTTTGATGGAGTTTTGTTCTCTAAGCGGGATGGTTTGGTCGTGGAGCTTTCATCACTCTTCTAAATGATATCATCAGCACAAACGTCAGGTAGAAGTGAAGTGTGCTGATGATGTCGTTCAGAAGGTCGATGAAAGCTCCACGACCAAACCATTCAGCTCAGAGAACAAAACTCCATCAAAAAGCATCATACTACTACTACTACTACTACTACTACTACTGTAGTGAACGAGAACAACAGTGAGAACAACCAAATATATTTTAATACAGAGTTACAGAATATCTTCGCAAAATCTGAGACCCATACGATAAACAATTCATTTGCAAAATATCCATCAATTATACCACAATTTATGGTTTCTTCATTTCTATACCAGTCACTCTCTGCTCTTATTCTTTTCTCTTCAACTTTCTGAACCTTCTACCACCAGACATTTCATTTTCGATTGATGATATATACTATTTATATCTGTCGATATCAGTAGCACACATCATACTACTACTAATTACAATACTGAAGTTTAATGGATGTCAGTTAATCAATAAGAGACACAGAATTTCTTCTAATAATATGAAGTCATCTTAAATTATTTTTTGTTTTTTATTTTACAAACAAATGTTAGCGGTATTTATATTCTTTTCTTCTTTTCTGCTCTTTTTCTCTTTTTTGTTGTTGGTAAAATAAGACAAACTAAAAATAGTTTAAAAGAATTATTGGTGTAAATAAGCACTGAACAAATACCTTGAATGTTTATACAGTTGGAATAGTAGGTAATAGGAGGAAAGTGGGGCATTTGTTTTTTCATCAAACTATTATGAATTTCTGTTCAAGAAAATGAATTACGAGTTTTATACAGTTGAATGAAATAAAATGCGACAAACTACAGTGATGAAAATGTTTGTAGCTAACATATGAGAATTTTCATAGAATGAGTTTTCGGCAATATTTCATGTTTCAATAGTTTAGATCATGATTCAATCGAATCTAGACCATCATGGGAAACATGGAAATACTGGATGGCTGTTTCGTCCTATTGTGGGACTCCTCAGATTCAATTGATTCATGATCTCAACTATTGAAATTACTACAATCTTCACAAAACCCTTTTTAATATTTCATGTATTATTTGTAGTTTATGGTACTTATGAGAAGCAATGAAGAAAACACAGAAATTTCAAACACACTTTTTTTTCAAGTAGCCATTGATTGTTGTTCCAAGTCATGTTATTGGGTGCAAGCTACGTGACTCAAATATATATATACCTTCGTGGGACTTCTTGAAAACTAAGAACCATTAGACAATTATCATAATTTAATTAAGTAGAAAAGTTGAAAATGATGGAGTAAAACTATTCTTATTGGAGAAATTAAAAGACAGTTTGATATCAATGAAAACTGATGAAAGCTGTTCATTGTCTACCTAGAACATTCAGATAATCAAGATAAAACCTATTGATCTATACGTTTCATGGTAAATACATTTATGAAATAGAAAAATGATCATTGAATGTCATTGGTAATAATAGCGTAACTCCTGATGTTATTAATTAGTTTCAATAATGAATTATTACAGAAATTTCTGGAGGTTGTCTAACAGCAAGTTGTTAGGGAATACATGATTAAATGATGAAAGAAAAACTTTTATGATATAAAAATACAACGGTTAATTTATTAAAGTTTATAAATATGACTTAACAGTTATTTTTTCCCAATCCTCTCTAAATTTTTATCAGCTTTTCAAATTTCATTTTTGAAATAAACAGAATATTTTTTTATGCAAAGATGGATAATGACTAGCAGTTGAATCCAGGAAATGCGTTTCGTCCTAAGTGAATAACGCGATGACTTTTGAAGATAATGGTTATGAGTTCGAGCCTCAGAGTGAACATCAATTCTGAGTTAGAGGTACATCCAGCTGACGAGTCCCAAATAGGGAGAAACGCGCGTCCTGCATTCTACTGCCAGCTACTATCCTTCTTTGCATAAAATGCTTGTGAATTAAGGCTAGATCGAGGCAATACACATAGTATGCATATATTTGTCAATAAGAGATTGATCAATTGCAATCCTAAACATCAATCGGAAGATACAAGCAAACAATACCGAGTGAATTTAGAATATTTTTTTAGTTCATAGTAATTAAGTAGTATATAACACACTTTTCACTATGCTGAAAAAATATGATAAACTTCCATTAGTAATTACCTGATTTACTTAATAGATGTGAATAAAACTCTATTTATTTACGTAACAAAAAACCCCGTCTTACACGACCATAGCAATAAAATATTTAGATATAGATTTATTTTAAATGTGGAGACTGATTTTTTTCATTATAAATTGTAGTGTCGGTTGCTATGTTAAACCCACATAACTTGTTCTAGCTTCTGGAGAGGCTAATTCATTCATTAATTTTGAGTTACGTTTTGACCTCGTTCATTATTCAATTATCAACCCTGACTGTTTTTTTATGAGTGTACTTGTGTTCATTTCCTATCTTACTCATTACATAACTGTAACTTATTTGTATCTGACTGTAAATATTGATTAACGCTTGATTAAATTGAGTTGGCTCCCACGCCTTCTCTATTGTGCGCCATCTCGTTTCACTCTCTCTTATTCATTTCCTTCGTTATATCTCTCTGATTATTTGTTCCCATCAACGATTGTACAAAATATATGTATTCAGCAATCCATTCTCGTATTTGACTTATTTTAGTTCCGTTATTTACTAACGTGATTTAAGTCAATAATTATATACAAGAATTGACCATATGTATATTTCAATGGTAATCAGAAACGATCAAACTTAAGTTAGATATAAGGCCGCAAAATTAGTGAGCCTATCGACAACATCGTCTGATGTAATTGACGTCCAAATATATGGCTTCAGTGTTCAATAAATGTGTAAAATCTAATATTTTTGAACATTCTTACATTCGTTTATTGGATGATAGCTGTATATTAGATTATGATTTTTATTGAGGATTTCATTTCAATTCTCTAAAACTATTTACAATCATCTTTTATGAACACATTAACTTAGAATATTTAAATTTTTTTTGGATTTAAAGAATGAAGTGAAACTTAAGGCTTGAAATGTAATCTTAAATGAAAATTTATGCTCTAATATACAACATGTAATTGCTAAATGTTGTATATTACATGGCATACGATGGACAGCTCAGAACCAATGACACGGTTTGGACTTTGCAGATGACCTAGCCCTCCTATTGCATAAACACGAACAAATGCGGATAAAGAAAACCAGTGTAGCAGTAGTCTCTGCATCAGTAGGTCTCAATATACACAAGGGAAAAACCAAGGTCCTAAAATACAACACGGAGAACAGCAATCCAATCACTCTTGATGGCGAAACTATGGAAGAAGTAGAATCCTTCACATACCTGGGAAGCATCATCGATGAACAAGGAGGTTCAGATGCAGACGTATAGGCGAGAATCGGCAAAGCAACGGTCGCATTCCTACAGTTGAAGAACATATGGAACTCAAAACAACTTTCAATCAATATCAAAGTGAGAATCTTCAATACGAACGTCAAGGCAGTTCTACTGTATGGAGCTGAAACCAATCCACGAAATTGAGCGACATATCCATGATTGTCTTCAGTGAGTTACTACCTCACAACAGATCTGGTTGAACTCCACTGGTCACTACTTCTAACTAG